TTCCTGGGAGAGGCGGAGCGAGGCAGAGCTGCACATTTCTGGGACTCCTGAACCAGCGCCAAGTAACTTTCCAACGGGCGACCCGAGGCACCAGAGCGGGAGCCGGCTTCCTTCCGCCCGTGGGTTTCAGGGCCGCACCTCCCTCCAGGCCGCCGTCTGGCGCGGGCGTGTAGGGGCCGGGTCTCTATCCAGGACTCTCGCGAGATGCCGGCCCCGCCCGCGCCGTCCCGGCGGAAAGGTCCGGCTAGTGCTTTCTGACTCTCGGCGGCACCCGTCCACGTCCGCCGCCACGTGACCAAACAGATCCGGGCACTTTCACTTCCCCTCCGCTTTCTTCTCGTCAGTGTCCGCGGCGGATCCAGAGTCGGGTGAGTGAGTAAACGCCCGGCTAGGGCCGTCGGGGGCGGGACTGCCCGCGGGCCCGGGGCGACCCCGCACTGATCCCCTCCGCCCTCCTCCTCGTCCCCCCCAGGTCCCCGCGGAGGCGGCGTTGGCGGCGTCATGGCGGAGCTGACGGCTCTGGAGAGTCTCATCGAGATGGGCTTCCCCAGGGGACGCGCGTAAGGGAGCCCCTCTAACCCGCGAGCGTGTCCGGGCCTTTCCCCCAGCCTGGCCTCAGGCTCTACGCCCCAGCCTGACCGTCACCATGGCGCGCGGGCGCTATTCACGGTGTTTCTGCCCCCAGGGAGAAGGCTCTGGCCCTCACAGGGAACCAGGGCATCGAGGCTGCGATGGACTGGTGAGCGCTCACACCGGGAGGCAGGGGACTGGGCACTGGAAGGGGCAGCCTCCGTGTTGACCTCCCTCCTGACCTTCTCTGTCAGGTTGATGGAGCACGAAGACGACCCAGATGTGGACGAGCCGCTAGCGACCCCGCTTGGACATATGCTGGGACGGGAACCCACCTCCTCGGAGCAGGGTGGCCCTGAAGGTCCTGACTGTGGGACACGGTGTGATTATTCAGGAGGGCCCGAGGAGGAGGAACGGGTAATAATACTCGTGGCTTGTTTGTAGGACCTGGGTCCGCTGCGGAAGAAGGCAAACCCATTTTGAGTGAAGAGGAAAGACAGGAACAGACTAAGAGGTATACAGTAAGGAACAGTCTTGCATGATTGAGGGTCACCTTCTACCTCTCCTCAGCGCATCTGATCAAAGAACCTCGAACTTTTCACATTCCCTGTGTCCTTTCCTGGCATTTTCCTTTTTGTTTCTTTCATCTGGGTTGGGACGCATGTTCCCTGATTTTGCTTTCTGAGTGCTTTGTTACAAACTCACCTTCCCAATCCATGTTCATCTCCTTTGAGCTCTTTTCTTTTTGCAATACAGGATGTTGGAGCTGGTGGCCCAGAAACAGCGGGAGCGCGAAGAAAGAGAAGAGCGGGAGGCGCTGGAACGGGAACGGCAGCGCAGGAGACAAGGGCAAGAGTTGTCAGCTGCCAGACAGCGGCTACAGGAAGATGAGATGCGCAGGGCCGCCGAGGAGCGGAGGAGGGAAAAGGCTGAAGAATTAGCAGCCAGGTCTGGGTGCTGGGGGTGTTGTGTAAGCGATGAGAAAGGAATCAATATTTGCTTTGTCAATGCCTAACCTTTCTTCCTGTCTGCATTCCAGGCAAAGAGTCCGAGAAAAGATTGAAAGAGACAAAGCGGAGAGAGCCAAGAAGGTAGGCTATTGGGAAAACGTTGAGAGTAATTAAGTAGGTGGGGCTGATAAATCCCATTTTCTGCTTCAGAGGGAAAAGGTGGGCTTACACAATGTTTCTCTTGATGGTGGGTGAGTGCCTCATGGAGTGTTTTCCTTTGTCCCCCAGTATGGTGGTAGTGTGAGTTCTCAGCCAGCCCCACCAACAGAGCCAGGTCCTGTTCCCTCCTCTCCCAGCCAGGAGCCTCCCAGCAAGCGGGAGTACGACCAGTGTCGCATACAGGTACTGATTCTGATTCTTCTTGCTCCTGGAACCCCTCTGTTGGTCTGTAAAGCAGTTAGCCCAGAGCTTTTTTTTCAGTTATGTTTCCTTTGCCAAACCTCTCCCTTCTTTGTAAATGACTTTTGAAATCCTACCTCCTCTACACTTAGGAAAGATATCAGATTTCACTTGCCCCAGTCTTATTTCAATCCATACCTCCCTCTTACCTAGCTGTTACCTCTTTACTTGCCCATGCTTTCATTGGGTTTATTACACAGCTGTTTGCAAAGCTAATGTTTATTCGTTTATGTGGTATTTATCCAGGTAGTTTTGGATAATCTTGTCTTTGTTTTTCTTAAGTTGTGAGGGAGCACAGAGTCTCTTTCTTCAGTGCTTAGTAAAGCAGAGCCTGAGCGGCTATTCATTAGGTGCTTTTAATAGTAATTCTTGCTGGCTCAATCTGAGAGGAAGGAGAAGCCAGCTTTGCTCTCCTTTTCCTTACTTGGGTACTTCACTCAGTTCTGACACTCACCATACTGTGGCTCTCACCTGCCCTCTAGGTCAGGCTGCCAGATGGGACTTCACTGACCCAGACGTTCCGGGCCCGGGAACAGCTGGCAGCTGTTAGGCTCTATGTGGAGCTCCACCGTGGGGAGGAACCCGGAGGGGACCAGGACCCTGTGCAGTTGCTCAGTGGCTTCCCCCGGCGGGCCTTTTCAGAGGCTGACATGGAGCGGCCTCTGCAGGAGCTGGGTATGACATATGGGACCTGAAGCAGGACTTGGGTGGGATAGGGGACATGCCTGAGAAAGAAAGAGATGCAAAGAGAAGGGACTTTGTAGATATGGTGTGAGGCCAAGAATTTTGGGAACAAAACACAGGTATGTGTGGTTTAAACCTGTTTTCTTCCATCTTTAGGACTTGTGCCTTCTGCTGTCCTCATTGTGGCCAAGAAATGTCCCAGCTGAGAGGCCTTTATCCCACCATCCCTGTCTGACCTCTTCATCTTTGATAAAGCACTGACATCTCCTTCCTAATAAATAAACCCTCTGAGTTCTCTATGTGCCAGACTCTTTCCTGAATGGCTAGGAGGGAATAAACTGAGGCAGAGAAAGAATGTAAAGGGAATACTTTTAGAGTAGATCCTACTCCTCATCTTACATTCCCAACAAAGACACTTGTTTCAAATCCCTAAGTCTGATTAGTTACTGAGGAAGTTGAGGGGGGAGATACACTGGGAGGTAAGGAGTGCAGTATAGTACCTTTTGCTCCTATGGGTAAGGTGGTGCATAAGCCTTAAATCCTTATTAGCTGTGCCTTAACTTTTTAAAGCCTAGTTTACTTGTTAGTGAAATGGGGATGATAGTACATGTCAGTTGCAGTTGTGGGGGTCAAATAATGCAGATAAAAGGTGCTTTAGCACAGTACCTGGCACCAAATAAGTCCCCAGTAATTACTAGCTACTAAAAGGATAATTTTTTATGTGGCCATTCCTAAACTTTGAGTGACATTAGTGACCTTCACAGTTGCATCTCTTCTGTACTAAAAAGTATTAAAAACAATGTGTACCAAACATTTAAGAAATATATTTTACACATGCCTGGCTGGTGTGGCTCAGTGGTTGAGCGTCAACCCATGCACCAGAGGTCGCCAATTCGATTCCCGGTCAGGACACATGCCCAGGTTGTGGACCAAACCTCCAGTGAGGGGCATGCAGGAGGCGGCCAATCCATGTTCTCTCATCGATGTTTCTATCCCTCTCCCTTCTCTCAAAATCAATAAAGAAAAAGCATTTTACACATTAACAGATAAGGGAGGTAGGAACAATGATCTCATTTTAGAGACTGGGACACTAAAGCACATAACTTGCCCAAACTGACACAGGTAACTAGTTATAGATCCTGGACACACACCTGGGGAGTCCAACTCTAGGTGCCAAGCACCTTTATCAGAGCCTGTGTCGCTGCTGCTGATCACCTCACCCTAGTGTTCCCTCAAACAGCTGCTCACTTTCCTCTCATTTCCAGGCTAGGAAAGGGCCACAATTAAACTAAAGGTCACACATGACAGCACCAATGCTCATATCTAGGTTTATAACTGTGTATATAGTGTTCTAGCTAAATTTACTTAATAAAAGCAGCCTTTTTTTTTTCTATTGCAAGGACAAACGAGGAACCAAGCAATAGGTTTGGCTGTGGGGCTGCAACCTCTGACAGCTTTATCTCACCCCTTCAGTGGCATTCCCAGTAGATTCTATGACTGGACTCAGACTGCAAACTACTACAGTGAAAACTTTGAAGGGGGAAACCCCACTATTTACTGAGAGGCTGCTCTGCCAGGCACTACACTTGGCTTTTCTAAATTATTATTCTTATGACAGTCCTTAAGATAATTTCACCTTTTATAGAACAGGATTGAGGCTCAGAGAAAACTTGTAACATACTAGCAATGAATCAAGATCTGTTTGACTCAAAACAGTTTTCACTACTCCAAAGGTTAATGGCCACAGAAGACATCTGGCACCTGTTAAGTGCTAGAAGCCTCACTCTAACTTCACTGGAAGGACAGGAACCCAGTGTCCTCTCTGGGCATCTACTGTTTGCTACAAGATTTCCCAGGACAGCCCTGGCCAGTTGGGCTCAGCAGTTGGAACGTCAGCCCGCGGACTGGAGAGACCCAGGTTCTGTTCCGGACAGGGGCACATACCTGGGTTGCAGTTCGTCCCTGGCCCCGGTTAGGGTTGTGTGGGTGGCAAGCAGTCGATGTGTCTCTCTCACATCGATGTTTCTCTCTCCCTCCTGCTCTATCTGAAGATAAATGAGGAAAAGAATGTCCTCAGGTGAGGATAAAAAATAAAAATAAAAATTTCCCAGGACACGTCTGATTTCAGGAATGTCGCTTGGTTATCCCCAAAAGTACACTCAAACAGGCCACATGACCTGACTTCTGTTTTAAAAACATGATCGCTGTGTCTAATGGGCTTCATTCAGCCTCACAAGGTGAGCAGGGCAGACGTGTGCCATGGTCATCCCCGCTCATAGAACCGACACTTAAAACACTAGACATTTACAGGCGTCACAACGCAGGGCTCGCTCGCTCTCTGGATGGAGGAACGTGATTTACTGGTTCCTTCAGTTTGCCACATACGGCGCAGGCACGCGATAACAACGTGAATGCGCAGTCAGTGCAAGGTTTCGGGGGAAGCGCTCACCTGGCGGCAGCTCCCAGGGCTCGGGCTCCCCGCCAGGTCCATGGAAGAGAAAGGCCGCCTCGGACTCCTTCGCCAGAGCAGAGCTCCCAGGGCCCACTAGTGCAGGTCCCAGCTCACAGTGACTTCCCGCTGCCTCCGCCGCTGCTCAGCCAGTTCCTCCTCCAGGTCACGTTCTCCTGCGTGGAAGCTGCCTCCTGCAGGGTGGCCAGCACTAACTGTTTGGTCCTGTCCGCCTCTTCCCTGCTCCTCAAGTCCTGCCCCGGCATTTCCTGCAGTCAGAAAAAGAGGTTCGCAGTTTGGACCCCCAACCCGAAGCTCTCTCCGCTTGCCCATCCACCCCATTTCGGATTTTCCAGTTGCTCTCACCTTCAGCATCGCCTGAACCTGCTCCTTTCCCGGGGTCACAAGGACAAAGAGTGTGGAGCCCACGCCAGCCCATGCACCGACTATTGCGACTGCCATCAGCGTTTTGCGCAAGGACCCCATAGCCGACCTCACGACCAGCGAGACGGCCTCTGTAGTCTCCCGAAGCCTAGAAAGGCCGGCACTGCATCTCACCGCTTCCTGGCAGGCTAGAGCGACCCACAGAAGACACCATAGAAAAGGACTGAGATAGAGAGGACCCGATCAGCGAAATGTTTAGAATCTAGAGCGTCTGGGTCTTAAATCTAGATTTAGCCGAGAAGGTTGAACGCGTCAAGAAGGCGTTGTCGCCGAAGGCGGAGCGTGGGTTGGGATTGCTGAGGCTTAATTCTTGTGTGTGTCCTGGCTGGAGATGGGACCTGGAACCGTGGCGTATCGGAGGACGCTCTAACCAAATGAGTTCACCGGCCAGGCAGAGGGTGTGTCTTCATGGTTGCTGTGGGTTTTACAACTAACTGCTCAGTTCCTAAGTTTACTGATCAAGAGAATGCTAGGGAATGAAAGAGAAAAATAAGAAGAAGAAAAAAACTCGCCCTCGCCAGATGCTCAGTGGTTAGAGCATTGGCCCGCGGACCGATGAGTCGCTGGTTTGATTCCGGGCAAGGGCACGTACTTAGTTTGCGGTTTGTCCCGGGTCCAGCTGGAGGCGATGTGTCCCTCTCACGTCATGTTTCTCTTCCCCACCCCCTACTCTATCTGAAGATAAACAGAAAAATGTTCTCCGGTGAGGATTGAAAAAAAAGACTAGGGCCCTGGCTGGTTTGGCTCAGCAGTTAGAGCGTCGGCCTGCGGTCAGGAGAGACCCGGGTTCGGTTCCCGCTAAGGGCACGTACCTTTCACGTCGATGTTTCTCTCTCTCTCTCTCTCCCCCTCCCACTGTACTAAATAAACAAAATATCAAAAAATGTCCTTGGGTGAGGATAAAAGAAAAAAAAGAAGAAAGCTAAAAATTCAATTAAAAAAAAAAAGAAGAAAAGACTAGGGTTGTGCTCTGTGGTTTCCTACAATCACTGATGCTGTTTCAGTACACATAGTAGACATCCACGTACTTGGTTGGACACATCACTCAGTCTATTTACCCTCTTCAGACCCTTCAACTCCTGAACAAAAACTCATAGCCAAGTATACTGGGTGTGGAAAAGGGTATATTGATATATTTCTTTATTTTACTTGTTAAACCCTGGCCAGGTAGCTCAGTTGGTTAGAGCATCATCCTAATAGGCCAAGGTTGCAGTTGATCAGGGGACATACAAGAATCAGACACTGAATGAAAAAATAAGTGGAACAACAAATTGATCTGTCTCTCAAAATCAATAAATAAAAACTTTAAAAAACATTTTTAAATAAACTTGTTAAATTTTTCATCATGGTATATACCCTTGGCGCGTGTGTGTGTACACACCCTTGGCATGCATGTATCATGAAAACTCTAGATTTCATGTAACATAGATAGTTTGGAGAAGAAAACAGCTTAGTTGTGTCTGGACAAAGTCATTTAAGTTCTTTGTGCCCTGGTTTCTGCATTAGAAAATGAGGCTAATAACAGTATCTATCTCATAGTTTTAAGATAATTACATGAATTTACACATAAAGCATTTAATACAGTTCCTGGCAAATAGTAAACACTCTATAAATATTTATTTAAAACACACAGCCCTGGCCAGTTTGGCTCAGCGGTTAGAGCGTCGGCCTGCGGTCCGGAGAGACCTGGGTTCGGTTCCCGCTAAGGGCACGTACTTCAGTTGCAGTTTGTCCCCGGCCCTGGTTGGTCGTGCGGGTGGCAGCCACTCGATGTGTCCCTTCACGTCGATGTTTCTCTCTCTCTCTCCTTCCTCTCTCTCCCTCCCACTCTATCTGTACAAAAAATGGAAAAATATCCCCGGGTGAGGATAAAAAAAATAAAAGATAAAAAAAAATAAAACACACAAAGAGCCCTGGCCAGTTTGGCTCAGTGGTTGGAGCGTCGACCTGCGGGCCAGAGAGTCCCTGGTTCAGTTCCTGCTAGGGGCACGTACCAAAAAAAAAAAGTATTACTGGAAAAAAGTAAATAAAAGTAGTACTGGAAATAAGATAGTTTTTTTTTAAAAAACAAACAAACAAAAAAAACCATATAAGGAGCCCGGCCAGCCCTGGCTGATTTGGCTCAGCAGTAGAGCATTGGCCCGTGGACCAATGAGTCGTGGGTTCGATTCCGGTCAAGGGCACATACCTTGGTTGCGATTCGTCCCCGGCCCCTGGTTGGGGTCCTACAGGAGGCAGCCACTTGATGTGTCCCTTTCACATCAATGTTTTTCTCTCTCTCTCTCTTCCTCTCTCTCCCTCCCACTCTGTCTGAACAAAAATGAAAAAATGTCCTTGGATGAGGATTAAAAATAATAATAATAATAATAATAATAATAATAATGATGATGATGATGATCTTGGCCAGTGTGGCTCAGTGGTTGAGCGTCAACCCATGCACCAAGAGGTCACCAGTTCAATTCCCAGTCAGGGCATATACCCAGGTTGTGGGCCGGATCCCCATGGGGGTCAGGCAAAAGGTAACCAATCAATGTTCTTTCTCATTGATGTTTCTATTTCTCTCTCCCTCTCCCTTCCTCTCTAAAAATCAGTGAAGAAAAAAAATATATATACAAGGAAATGTGTCAGCTTGGGAAACCCAGTAAGTAAAGGAATTAGGAAGTTCCAAGTTTGATATCAAGGTTCTTCACTCACAGGGCTTTAATCCAGATGCCCTTGTTGATATCCCTCCTGCCTTTCCCAGTGTCACCAGGGAGTGAGTAGAAATAAGGCTTTTATCTCATTCTTGTGATTTCTCCCTCCCCTGGAAGGCCCATAATCTCCTAGCATGTCATTCTGCTCTCCTCAGAAGTGATTAAGGAGCCAGGCTCCAAAGAAGATTAAAGGAACAGTCTGTGGGGTGCTCTGGGCAGAGGTTCAGAACTCTACTCCGAGTTCAGCTACACTGCACACTAAAAATCAGCAGCTATGGACCTTGTGCCAGGGAACAAGGATGGGCCTTGGCCTAGAGATAACCCAGTCTCCTTCCAGCATCCAGAAAGTCCTAGGCTGACCAACCCTCTCTGGAAGGACAGAGAAGAAATTGACAGAGTTGAAGGTCACCAGGATATTCACGTTAGTACTTCCCCACCCTAAGTCCTGCTGCTGGCTTATCCTCCAATTTAGCCCAAGATAGATAGATCCCTGCTGTCCCCATGCAGGTTGTCTCTCAAAAGACCCATCTGCCCTCCATTGTGGTAGAAGCCTCTAAGGTAAGTGAAGAGAGTGGGGAGCTTCGGTGGCCACATGAGGATCTGCTGTTGCTCACTGATGATGAGGAAGAAGAGGCCCAGGTCTTCTTCCGGGACCAAAGTGAAGAGCCAGGTGAGAGAAGTGGCAGGTTCAATGGGGCCCTTGTGACCTGGATGTTCTGGGCAGGACCAAGATGGAAAACTCAGTTGTGTCCTTTGCATTAACTACTGCCAGGCACACAGGTGTCCAGTAAACATAATGAAAAAAAATGTTGAAGTGGGAGAAAGGTCAAGGTGACTGCCTTTAGAGGGTATTTCTGATGTCAGATGGGTCATGCGTTTTTGTTTTTGTTTCTTTATTGATTTTATTTTATTGTTTTATTTATTTTTTTCTTTATTGATTTAGAGAGAGAGAGGGAGAGAGAGATAGAAACATCGACGAGAGAAAACATTGACTGGCCACATCCTGCATGCCCTCCAATGGGGATTTGGCCCACAACGTGGGCATGTGCCCTGACCAGGAATCGAACCAGTGACCTCTTGGTGCATGGGTCAACACTCAACCACTGAGCCACACCAGCTGGGCGGGGCATGCATTTTAATATGTATTTTTAATATATGTATTTTTAATATATGTATTTTTAATTTTATTTATTTATTTATTTATTTTTGGTATGTGCCCCTAGTGGGAACCAAACCCGGGACTCTGGTCCGCAGGCTGATGCTCCAACCACTGAGCCAAATTGGCCAGGGCTAATATGTATTTTTAATATTTTAAAATATTTAGTTTATTGTGGGAAGAAGATAAAATTACCCCAAATCTGACTGCCTAGAGATAGTTGACATTTGTGATATCTTCTCTTGCAGATTTTGTTCCCTTGTCTGTATACTGTTATAGAAACGTTTTTGGAGGAGCATTTACTATGTGCTAGGCACTGTGGTAAACACTTTTACCTCATGATTTTTTTTTTTTAATCTTCACCCGAGGATATTTTTTCCATTTTTAGAGTGTGGAAGGGAGGGAGGGAAAGAGAGAGAGAGACACACACACACATCAATTGGTTGCCCGCTGCATGACCCCAGGTCAGGGATTGAACACAGGAATTGAACTCTCGACCCTTTGGTCTGTGGGCCGACCCTCTAACCACTGAGCCAAAGTGACCAGGGCTACCTCATGATTTTCAGAATCCAATGAGGGAGATACTTTCCCCTCATGAGGAAACTGAGGCTATGCAATTAGGCTTTTCATTATAATTGCAGTATTACTTTTTTGTTGTTTTCTTCTTCTTCTTTATTGATTTTTAGAGAGAGGAAGGGAGAGGGAGAGATAGAAACATCGATTGACTGCCTCCTCCATGGCCCCCAGTGGGGATTTGGCTCACAACCTGGCATGTGCCCTGACCAGGAATCGAACCTACCTGTTGGTGTATGGGTTGATGCTCAACCACAGAGCCACACTGCAGTATTACTTTTTTATAAGCAAAAATAACAAATTCATGGGGGTTTCTTCGTAAAAGGCAAAACATGTGAAGTGAAACAAGATCACAAGTTCATTTTATTTTAAAAATATTCAATGTATCAGGAATATTTCTTTCTGTTAATGGGCTCTTTAACTCCCCTCCCCCAACCCAGGCTGGACATGGAGCCCCATGGAACCCAGATCTCCCTTAAGAACCTTTAACCCAGAACTCAGCTGGGGGCAGGAACAGGTACAGCAAGATGCCTCCTGGATTCCTGAGAACACAGAGTGTCAGGAAGCACTCAATCCCTGTCCTCTCTGGGATCCAACAAGCTTCCGTGTTTGCCAAAGCCATTTTGTGGAATACCATCTCTTGCCTCCCAGGAGCGTTGAGGGTAAGTATTGTTTGTTCTCTCTCCCCGTAACATTTCACCTAGGTGTATGGAAGCCCTTCTACCCATCCTTTCATGATCCTCCCCTTTTCAGATCTGAAAAGTGAGTTTAGAGATTAGGTCACTGGGTCATACACATCAGTCATTGCTGAGATTTGGATTAAGAATTCTTATCTACTGCTTTTATAAGTTCCAGTTAGTTGGGGGTGGGGAATTATCCACTTGTATCTTCTCTATTCAGCATTTAATATTGGGCCTGATCCTGCTAAACGTCTCAGCTATCACTGTATATAATCCGCATAACTTCAGGTATTATTATTCCTACCTAGCTGGTGAGTAAACGGGCACCAAGACACGGTAAATACTGTGTGCATCAAGCTAAGTAAACGTGGAAGCCAAGACTCTCTCCACCTCTCCTCACTCAACAGAAACTCTAGGGTCAAGACTACAAGTCTTTTTTTTTTTTGGTACCTGCCCCTAGCGGGAACCAAACCAGAGTCCGCAGGCCGAGGCTTCAACCGCCGAGCCAAACTTGCCAGGGCAAAACTACAAGTCTTTAATGAGAGCCTTGAACCAAGTAAGCAAAGTAGGTGATGCCCCTGAAAGGGCCTATCTCCTGCACAGTCACCATCCAGCCTTGGGATCCTTGCTCCAGGCAGGGAAGTCGTACATCAGGGTCCTCATCTGAAAACTGAATCAGGGTCCCCTGGGGGCTTAAGACCCTCAGGCATTCTGACAGTAGCTGGTAAGCCCCAGGGAGACCACCGCGGGCAACAGCATCCCAGGTGCCCTTGTCCAGCACTAGCTGAAAGGAGCCTGAGGAAGCCACTGGCTCCAGGTTCTGTGCATCAGCCTGCATGAAGTGGAGGCGAGAGGCAGGATTCGCAGGGCACAGGGCTGTTTGGCCTTGGCCACCTTCCAGGACACTGTTCATGTGAGCCACAGCCACAGGAGAGAAGTCCACCCCCAGCACGTCCACAGCGTATGGGCACTTGGTGTAGAGGCCTGTACACAGGCTCGAAGTCCCACAGCCCACGTCTAACACTCGCAGTGGACAAGCATCCTGGGCCCCCTGCAGCAGCGGCAGTAGGAGTCCCTGGGCTTCCTCATACCCAAAGAACCAGTCGAAGGTGGGGACTCTGTCGAGCCGGGGTTGAGCGTGTAGCTTATCCCAGAGGCAGCGGTCCGCCAGGCAGCTACTGGCGAGGGAGCCTGTGGACATGAGTGGAAGGCACGTGTCACCTGGCGCCCGAGTTCTGTCAAACCATTGCAAAAACGACGCAACGTAACCTGACCTTTTAATATCCACACTGGACTGCGGGATTAGGAAGAAACCACCTTGCCCTCCCACTCTGTGCACCTTTCCTACCCGCCAAGGCGCGGCGCGTCCCCGCAGCCAGGGTCGCCAGGCGGAGGGTTCGGCGCAGCACAGCCATCCGGAGATGCCGGCAAGGTCGGCCAGAGAACCTGTTCTGCGAAATGTCGCCCGCACTCCCAGCTGAGGCCTGAGATTCGAGAGAAGATTTGCAAAACCCGCTTTCTAGAATAACGCCTACAGCGTCTCTGGCAGCCTCGGAACAAAGCACGCGGACACATACACCTACAACGGTACGAACCGCCTTTATTGGTCGCAAAGGGAAGTGGAACAGGAGGGGATACGACAGCTCCGGCTCCCGGGGCGGCTTCACAGACCTGAAACAAAAGGAGGCATGAGCACCCGGGGGAGGGGCCCGCTGAACTTCGTTCTGCCCTTCTTCCTGAAGGAGACGCGTGTCCCGGCGCTTGAGGATAGAACCGGCGGACGGGAAACCGTCGGCACCGAAGACATGACGCCGAGGGGGCCGGAGCCCTCTCCCTCTGCCTCCGTACATTACGGGGACCGGGACCGCACGCCCGACCCCCGCCAAGAAGAGGAGGGTCCGCAAGCCCCGCCCAGAGCCCCCGCACAACCGAGGAAACCACAACTCCAAGGGCACTTACTCTGTGACCGCCCTCCGAAAGGCTGAGGAGTCGGCGGAGCTCCTTTATATAGCACTAGGACCCGCCCCCGAGCCACGATTGGCTTGCGGAGGACGGAGGGGCGGTGCCCTCACGGGCCCTGCGTCGAGCGGAAACGCGGAGCCGAAACCCGCAAAGCTGCTCAGCCATGGGTGCCCCCGGCGGGAAGATCAACCGGCCCCGGACGGTGACTGTGTGGGAACGCCGACGTTGTTTCCGAAGCCTCCCAGAGCCCCCTAATCATGCCCGAGATGGGATCGATAGGCCAAAGTCGCCTATCCCGGGTGCGGGGATCCCGGGTCGCAGCGTGCGGCCTCCGTCTGATTAGCATGTTCTTCCCCTGCAGGAGCTGAAGAAGAAACTGTTCAAGCGACGGAGGGTGTTGAACCGGGAGCGGCGACTGAAGCACCGGGTGGTCGGGGCCGTGATAGACGAAGGGCTCACCACGCGGCACCACCTCAAGAAGCGCGCGTGAGTGCCAGACCCTCTGCCCCTGGGTTTATTGCTGAGCTCCTGAGCAGTTAGCACCTCTGCCTTCGTGGTGCGCTCGCTTTTGTGCTGTTTGTGCCTTAACTCTGCTAGCCTCTCACTGTACCGGTAGTTCACAACCTTTCTTTGGGTCTTGGACCTTACTGAGAATCTTAAGAGCGGTCAACTTTCCCATCTCTCCAAGAATAATTGTACATCCACATAGATGTTTATAAGGAAGTTGTGGGTTTTTTGTTTTTTTTTTTTTTACAGTTTTTTAAAATTTTATTTTTGTTACAGATGTTTCTCCTTTTTTTCCCCATTGACACCCTCCCCCCCACCCCACCCCTGTTGTCCGTGTCCATTGGATATGTGTACATGCATATAAGTTGTGTGGTTTATCTCTTCCCTCCCCCTACCAACCCCTCTTCTGAGGGTTGTCAGCCTGTACCCTACTTCCACGTCTCTGGGTCTACCCTATTCCTCAGGCTGTTATGATCATTATATTCCACAAATAAGTGAGATCATGTGGTATTTGTCTTTATCTGCTTGGCTTGTTTCGCTTAGGATAATACTTTCCATGTCCCTCCATGTCATCTCAAAGGATAAGAGATCTTTCTTTCTTACAGCTGCATAGTACTCCATTGTGTATATGTACCGCTGCTTTTTTATCCATTCATCTACTGATGGACACTTGGGCTGTTTCCAGATCTTAGCCATTGTAAATAGTGCTGCTATAAACATGGGGGTACATATATTCTTTCTGATTGGTGTTTCAGGCTTCTTAGGGTATATTCCTAGAAGTGGGATCACTGGGTCAAATGGCAATTCAATTTTTAATTTTTTGAGGTAACACCATATTGTTTTCTTTTTCCTTTTCATTTTTTTATTTTATTTTATTTTATTTTTTTTATCCTCACCCGAGGACATTTTTCCATTTTTTGTTCAGGTAGAGTGGGAGGGAGAGAGAGGAACAGAGAGAGAGAGAGAAACATCGATGTGAAAGGAACACATCGAGTGGCTGCCACCAACCGACCAGGGCCGGGGACAAACTGCAACCGAGGTACGCGCCCTTAGCAGGAACCGAACCCAGGTCTCTCAGGACCGCAGGCCAACGTTGTAACCGCTGAGCCAAACCGGCCAGGGCTTTTTTTTAATTTAATTTTATTTTTTTTCTTTATTGATTTTTTGTTGTTGTTGTTCAGGTAGAGTGGGAGGGAGAGAGAGGAACAGAGAGAGAGAGAGAGAAACATCGATGTGAAAGGAACACATCAAGTGGCTGCCACCCGCACAACCGACCAGGGCCGGGGACAAACTGCAACTGAAGTACGCGCCCTTAGCGGGAACCGAACCCGGGTCTCTCAGGACCGCAGGCCGACGCTCTAACCGCTGAACCAAACTGGCCAGGGCCATATTGTTTTCAATAGTGGCTGCACCAGTCTGCATTCCCACCAGCAGTGTACTAGAGTCCCCTTTTCTCCACACCCTCCCCAACACTTGTTTGATGATTTGTTGATGGTGGCCATTCTGACAGGTGTGAGGTGATATCTCATTGTTGTTTTAATTTGCATCTCTCTGATAATTAGTGATGTTGAGCATTTCTTCATATGTCTCTTGGCCGTTTGTAGGTCCTGTTTGGAGAGGTGTCTATTAAGCTCCTCTGCCCATTTTGTAATTGGGTTCTTTGTCTTCCTTTTGTTGAGTTGTATGAGTACTCTATATATTTTGGAAATTAACCCTTTATCTGATGTATCATTGAACATGATGTTCTCCCATACAGTGGGTTGCCTTTCCATTTTGATGGTTATTTATTTTGCTGTGCTATAAGGAAGTTTTAAAGCGCACACAGGAGTGTGCCTACAACTAGATGAATTTTCACAGAGGCACATGTGGGGTTTTGCATATAAATTTCAGGACCCCGTGAGTCTTGGGGAAGAGTTCCCATCCCATTCTTTCATTGACTTCGTCATTATCAATATTTGCAGTTTATAATAACAAACTTCTTTGGTCTTTGTCCCTGGCTCCTGGCGCAGAGCTCCTAAAGCAATTGGGATGATAGGAGTGTTTTTTATTTCATTAGGACCCCTTTGTGAGCACACCTAAATTTATGCTAATGAGGGACAGGGCGGTCACCAAAAAACCCCAGGGATTAGGATTGGAAATTTAAGTCTCACCCGCCCCTCGCAAACACACACACCTTGCCCTGGCCGATTTGGCTCAGCGGTTAGAACATCTGCCCCTGGACCAGAGAGGCCCGTGTTTGGTCCCTGCTACGGCCACTCCTTGTTGCAGTTTGTCACCCACCCGGTTGGGGTCGTGTGGGTGGCAACCACTCTATGTGTCCCTCTCACATCTATTTTACTCTCTCCTTCCTGCTCTATCTGAAGATAAATGCAAAAATGTCCTCAGGGTGAGGATAAAAAATACATAAATAAATAAATACACACCTCTGGAAAGTAGGGTAGGGGTGGGTGGGAGTGAAGGTGATTAAGCTCTAAAAAAACTCTTGGGGTGGGGTGGTGTGGCTCAGTAGATTAAGCATCTTCCCATGCAACCAGAGGTCACTGGTTTGATTCCCAGTCAGGGCACAAGCCTGGGTTGAGGGCTCGATCCTCGTGCAGAGGGCGCAGGAGGTGGCCGGTTGATGTTTGGTGTTTCTTTCTCATTGATATTTCTATCTCTCTCCCCTTCTCCTTTCCTCTCTCTCTGTCTAAAAAATCAATAAAAATATATTTTAAAAAAACTCTTGAGGAACAGAGATTTGATAAGCTTCCTGGTTGATCAATTGGTGGAGGTCTAGGAATGTAGCTGGAGAAGGCATGGAAACTTCTGGCCCCTTCCCCACACCTTGCCTTATGCATCTTTTCCATCTGGCTGTTCTAAGTTGTATCCTTTTATAATAAATCAGTAAATGCAAGTAATGCTTCCCTGAGTTCTGTGAGTTATTCTAGCAAATTATAGTCTGAAAAGCGGATTATGAGAACCCCGCTTTATAGCATGTGGATCAGAAGTACGGGTGACAACATGGCTATCTCCATAAAATTTTCATAAAATTTTTTTAATCCTTACTCGAGGATATTTTTCCATTTATCTTCAGGTAGAGAGAGAGTGAGGAAGAGAGAGGGAGAGAGAGAAAAACATCAACATGAGAGCAACACATCGACTAGTTGCCTCCTGTACGACCCCCAACCAGGGCCGGGGATGAACCGCAACCAAGGTATGTGCCCTTGGCTGGAATCTAACCTGGAACTCATTGGTTCGCAGGCTGATGCTCTACTGCTGAGCCAAACCTGCCAGGGCAAAATTGAATTAAATTTGTAGGATATCCACCCTGGCCAGTACGGCTCAGTTGGTTGGAGCATCATCCCATACACCAAAAGGTGTTGGGTTCAATTCCCTATCAGGGCACATACCAAAGTTGCAGGTTTGATCCCGGGTCTAGGGGCCTTTGGGAGGCAATTAATCAATGTTTCACTCTTACATTGATGTTTCTCTCTCTCCCTTTCCCTTCCTCTTTCTCTAAAATCAATAAAAGCGTGTCCTCGGGTGAGGATTTAAAAATAAAATAATAAAAAATATCAGCTTTTTTTTTTTTTTAAGAGAGAGAGAGAAGCATCAATGTGAGAGAGTAACATCGATCAGTTGCCTCCTGTATGCACTCTGACTGGGAATCTAAACTAAAACCTTTTGGTATACAGGACAATGCTCCAATCAACAGATACCCAGCCGGGGCTAAAAAATATCAGCTTAAAAAAAATGTTGTATGGGGGGAACATCTGTAATGCTTTCAACAATAAAGATTTAAAAAACCTGTAGGACATTCAATTAATGTCTGCTGAGAATAGGATCATTGTTTGATGTAGGAACTCTGCCCCCCCACCCCCTACCACAGCTGGTGTCAGGAGTATCTAGAATAGAGAAGAAAAATAGTTTTTCCTTACAAATTTCTACAATATATTAAAATTTAGAATTTAATGTTAAGTACTTTATGTGTTGAGATTAAAATCACTACCTTAGAGCCAGATTTCAAACAGTTCTTTGATGAGGATCCAAAGACCTTTTATTTATTTTTTAATCCTCACCCAAGGATATTTTTTCCATTAATTTTTTTGTTTTTTTTAAAGATAGAGTGGGAGGGAGAGAGAGAAGCATCGATGTGAGAGACACATCAATTGGTTGCCTCCTGCATGACCCCGACCGTGGTGGGGATTGAACCTGTAACCGAGGTATGTCCCCTTGGCTGGGAATTGAACCTGTGACTTTTTAGTCCATGGGCTGACACTCTAACTGCTGAGCCGAAACAGCCAGTGCCAAAGACCTTTTCTTTCTTTTCTTTTTTTTTTTAATCCTCACCCGAGGACATTTTTTTTTTGCATTTATCTCTAGATAGACTGGGAGGGAGAGAGGGAGAAAGAGAGAGAGAGAAACATTGATGTGAGAGAGACACACATCAACTAGTTGCCACCCACATAACCCCAACCGGGGCCAGGGACAAACTGCAACCAAGGTATGTGCTCTTAGCGGGAACCGAACCCAGGCCTCTCTGGTCCGCCGGCCGACGCTCTAACCACTAGGCAAAACTGGTCAGGGTTGCCAGAGACCTTTTCAATAGCTACAACCACTTGTGTGGTTTGTGTTGGTTCAGGTTAATCTGGATCTTTGTTCCTACCAACCCTTCAGGTCCAGTGCACGTGCCAACATTACTCTGTCTGGGAAGAAGTGCAGAAAACTCCTGCAGCAGATCCGGCTTGCCCAGAAAGAGAAAGCGGCCATGGAAGGTGAGGCTGGGGCACAGAGGTGGGGTGAGGGGCCAGCCTGGATCTTCTTGGGCTCCTTCTTGGGCTCTTTTTTTATTATTATTATTTTTTTATCCTCACCCGAGGACATTGTTTGCTTTTATCTTCAGATAGAGCGGGAGGAGAAAGGGGGGAAGAGAGAAAGAGAGAGAAACATCGATGTGAGAGAGACACATACGACTGGTTGCCATCCATACAACCCCAACTGGGGCGGGGGGACAGACCGCAACCAAGGTACATGGCCCTTAGCGAGAACTGAACTCGGGACTCTCTGTCCGTGGGCTGATGCTCCAACCGCTGAGCCAAACCAGCCAGGGCAGCTTGGACTCTTTAATGCTTCTTCTCCTTCTGCTCAGTGGAAGCCCCTGCAAAGCCGGCCAGGACTACTGAACCGAAGCCCAAATCACAAAAGAAGACAAAAGCCCCCCAGGATGTAGATATGGAGGACCTTGAAGATGGAAGCTAAATCATACCCCTTTAACCAGAAGATTCTCACCTGGAGCCAGGAGGACTCAGTGGTTGTTTTAGAAGACTTTGGAGAAAACACTGAACCTTTCACTCTCCCCAGATTCCTCTTCCACAGTGGCCTAGTGACCTGCCGTGGAGGGATGTGTTGAGAGGGAGAATGGAAAAGAAAGATCAGAGACGTGACTCCTTAGCAGTCAACTCCATTTGTAATAAAGCCCGAGAACCCTCTCAGAGATGTGTGTGATTAAATGTAGGCATGGGGATGGGCCATGAAAAGGGGTCTGTAGGTGTAGAAGAAAGGCAGTTGACCCACAGAGTGTACTTGAGCAAAGGCATCAAGAAGCCAGCCTCTGTGACAGCCCTGTCTCTATAGTGAGTGGCACTCCAACTTTCGAATTCTGACCAAAATATAGATTATCATAGAGATGGCAGAGGAAGTAGGAGTCCTGACACCAGCCCTGCCACTGCTTGTGTGTGGCCAGCGTGGGCAAGTCACTTTATGTTATGTTTCCTTTGCTGGATTTTTATATATATATACATATATGTATATATATATATTTTTTAAGTATTTTTTCTTTATTGATTTTAGAGAAAGACGTAGGGAGAGGGAGAGAGAAAAATAGAAACATTGATGAAAGAAAACATCAACTGGCTACCTCTTGCATGCCCCCCACTGGGGATCAGGCCCACAACCTAGGAATTGAACCTGTCATCTTTTTTTTTTAATCCTCACCAGAGGAAATTTTTCCATTTTTTGTTCAGATAGAGTGGGAGGGAGAGAGAGAGAGAGAAACATCGACATGAAAGGGACACATCAAGTGGCTGCCTCCCACACGACCCCAACCGGGGTGGGGGACAAACTGCAACTGTGGTACATGCCCTTAGTGGGAACCGAACCCGGGTCTCTTTGGACCGCAGGCTGATGCTCTAACCGCTGAGCCAAACCGGCCAGGGCAAATCTGTCATCTTTTGATACATGGAACACGCTCAAAGCAACTGAGTCACACTGGCCAGGCCATTATTTTCCCCTTTTTTAAAAATACGTTTTTTGCCCAGCCAATGTAGCTAAGTGGTTGAGCGTTGAACCATGCACCAAGAAGTCACTGGTTCAATTCTGGGTCAGGGCACATGCCTGGGTTGTGGGTCAAATCCCCAGTGGGGGGGCATGCAGAAGGTGGCTAATCGATGTTCTCTTTCATTGATGTTTCTATCTCTCTCTCCCTCTCCCGCTTTCTCTAAAAAAAATAAAATAAAGAAAAAAAATTTTTTTAAACATGTTTATTGATTTTTCAGAGATACCTTACTGGGTATCAAGCCCACAACCTGGTCATGTGTCCTGACAGCAAATCAAGCCAGAACCTCTCAGTACATGAGATGACACTCAATGCACTGAACCACACTAACTGGACTATTTTTCTCTTTTAACATTCAGAAAACTTGTTAGAAGCTGGGGCTGGGATGTGTAATTGATGTGAAAAGCTGCCGGTGCATAGGTGTGTTCAATGGGAGAAAAGCATATTATTTTCTGTGCCCTATTTAATCAGTGCAGGCTTCCTGGAAGAAGGAGAGTTTGGGCCCAGTGTTCCACCTCCCAGGACTGTATTTTGAACAATATTAAGTTTTCACTGAAGTTAAGAGATTAGTACAATGAACCCTTATATATGCACTCTATCTGGATTTGCCAATTGTTAGCATTTTGCTTTACTCGTTTTATCTCTTTCTATGCATTTGCAAATATGTATGTGTATGAGCATGTATGTATCTTTGTTGTCTGCTGACTCATTTGAAAGTCAACTGCAGGTGACATTCCATCCCTAATTTTGCTATATTTCTATATAGTAAAAATACTATTATCACACCTAACATTTTAACATTAGTGAAATAGCTAATATTCAGCTTTTCATATTCAAATTTCCTCAGTTGTTCTAATAATCTTAATAGCTGTTTTCCCCCCTCAATCAAGGGACCAATCACATTGCACTTCATTGTCATGTCTTTTTTTTTTTTTTTATCCTCACCCAAGGACATTTTTTTGTTTTTTGTTCAGATAGAGTGGGAGGGAGAGAGAGAAACATCGACGCAAAAGGGACATATCGAGTGGCTGCCACCGGCACGACCCAACCAGGGCCGGGGACAAACTGCAACCAAGGTACATGTCCTTAGCAGGAACCGAACCTGGGTCTCTGGACCGCAGGCCGATGCTCTTACCACTGAGGAAACTGGCCAAGGCAATTACAGTGATACCTCGGTTCTCGAACGCCTTGACTTTTGACCAAATCGGTATTCGACCAGGAGATTCGAGAAACTTTTGTCTTGGAATCCGAACAAATATTTGGAACTCGAACTTCCGAGATGAGCCGAGTTGAGCCGAATGGCGTTCATTCGGCCCAGCGCGCCTTGCTCGCGTCATCAGTGTGAGTGCAGAGAGAGTCACGCTGTGTGGAGAGAGTCACGCTTTACACTGAATTTAACCCTTAGACATACTGTACACTTTTATTTCTTGTTGAGACTTATGTTTTTCTACATATTATATACAAATTAGGCCAGTAAATAGGCATTTTCTGGGGCTTGGAACGAATTAATCCAGTTTCCATTATTTCCTATTGCTTCGGTTCTCGAACAATTTGGTTCTCGACCGTCCTCCTGGAACGAATTATGTTCGAGAACCGAGGTATCATGTCTTTTTAGCCTTCTGCAGTTGAGAACAGTATCCCTACCTGGTCTTAGAAGTCTTCACATTTTTTGAGGAGTCTAGCCCAATATTTATTTCTTTAACAATATCCTACAACTCGGGTTTGAGTGTTTGTATATGTTTCCTCATAATTAAGTTTAGGTTAAGCATTTTTTGGTGAAAATTCTACATAGATGATTTTGTTTATTTTGTATTGCATTATATCAGAAGTACAGTGGACCTTGAACAACATACATTTGAAACACAAAAGTCCACTTACATGCGGTTTGTTTCAATAAATATTGTAAATGTATTTTCCTTTTTATTGAATTTATTGGGGTGACACTGGCTAAAATTGTATGGGTTTCAGATGCACAGTTCCACAATACGTCATCTGTACTGTATTGTGTGTTCACCACCCCAAGTCAAGTCTCCATTCACCACCATTCCCCCTATACCCTCCTCCACTTACCCTCCCCAGTCACTACCCTGTTGTCCATGTTCATGAGTTTTTTTCCCTTTTTTTAATCCTCACTCGAGGACATTTAGACATTTTTCTTTTCTTTTTTTTTATCCTCACCCGAGGACATTTTTCCATTTTTTATTAGATAGAGTGGGAAGAAGAGAGAGAGAGAGAGAGAGAGAGAAACATCGATGTGAAAGGGACACATCGAGTGGCTGCCACCCGCACAACCAACCAGGGCTGGGGACTAACGGCAACCGAGGTACGCACCCTTAGCGGGAACCGAACCCGGGTCTCTCTGGACCACAGGCCGGCGCTCTAACCGCTGAGCCAAATCAGCCAGGGCCATTTGGACATTTTTCAATTTTTTGTTCAGGTAGAGTGGGAGGGAGAGAGAGAGAGAGAGAGAGAAACATCAACATGAAAGGGACACATGGAGCCGCTGCCACCCGCACGACCAACCAGGGCCAGGGACAAACTGCAACCGAGGTACACGCCCTTAGTGGGTACCGAACCCAGGTCTTTCGAGACCACAGGCCGATGCTCTAACCGCTGAGCCAAGCCGGCCACGGCGTTTTTTCTTTTTTTTTGCTTAATCCCCCCACCTAGTTCCTTATGATTTTTTAAAAACTTTTTTTCTTTATTGATTTTAGAGAGAAAGAAGAAGGGAGAGAGAGAGAGACATCAACAAGAGAGAACATTGATCGGCCGCCTCCTGCATGCCCTCCACTGGGGATCTGGCCCACAACCTGGGCATGTGCCCTGATCGGGAATCAAACTGGTGACCTCTTGGTGCACTGGTCAATGCTTAACCACTGAGCCACACCAGCCAAGCTCCTTATGATTTTTTAAAAATATGTTTTTATTAATTTTTAGAGAGAGAGGAAGGGAGAGATAGAAACATTGATGTGAGAGAGCATCGATTGGCTGCCTCCCACACAACCCCCACCAGGGATCAAACCTGTAACCTGGAGTCGAACCAGTGACCTCTTGGTGCAGGGGACTACGTTCAATCCACCGAGGCACGCTGGCTGGGCATGGTTTTCTTAATAAATTTTCTCAAGCTTACTTTATTGTAGTAATACTATATATAATATAACGTACAAAATATGTGCTACTCGACTGTTTATATTATCAGTAAGACTTCTGGTCAACGAAAGGCTGTTAAGTTTGGGGGGAAGTCAAAAGTTATATGAGGATTAAAAAAATTTTTTTCTTTATTGATATTTAGAGAGAGGAAGGGAGAGGGAGAGAGAGAGATAGAAACATCAATGAGAGAGAACATTGGTTGGCTGCCTCCTGCATGCCCCCCACTCCTGGGAATTTGTCCCACAACCTGGGCATGTGCCCTGACTGGAGATCGAACTGGCGACCTCTTGGTGCATGGGTTGATGCTCAACTACTGAGCCACACCGGCCAAGCAATATATGAGGATTGTTTACTGTGTGGGAAGAAGAGGTCAGGGTCAGCACCTCTAAACCCCACATTCACAGGTCAACTTGAATGTAATACCAGTTTGTCTCATTGTTGGTAGAGACTTGGTTAAGTGGGTGTCTGTCAAGATTGCTCCACTGTGAAGATATCCTTGCCTTTTATAATTAATAAGTAATCAATCTATGGCCCTGGCCAGTTTGGCCCAGTGGTTGGAGTGTCGGCCCTCAGACCAAACAGTCGCAGGTTTGATTCCAGTCAAGGGCATGTACCTCAATTGTGATTCGATCCCTGGCCTTGGTTGGGGTTGTGAGGGAGGCAGCCAATCGATGTGTCTGTCTCTCTCTCCTTCCCCTTCTTTCCCTTCCACTCTATCTAAAAATTAATGGAAAACTATCCTGAGGTGAGGATTAACAAAAAAAGAAAACCTCTCCCTTTTATGTTTAATATTCTTATGGATTTAGATTGGCTGTCAATATGTTATAATCCATTCCTATTGCTTTTTCATGCTCAAAATCACACCAAATTTGATCAGCAGGAGCCTCTTCAAAGTGGTTTCTATGTCCTTTTGACACAACACCATTCGTTTTTGAGTACTTCTTGCTTTCAGGCACAGTGAGATGTTCCAGGCTCACCTATTACTTATCCTGGCCTAAAATTTGGAATCAGCCATTTTTCCAGGGAAACAGTATTATGTCCAGTTTTTTTTTTTTTAATCCTCACCCGAGGACATTTTTCCATTTTTTGTTCAGATAGAGTGGGAGGGGGAGAGAGGGAGAGAGCAGGAGATAAACATCCACGTGAAAGGGACACATCGAGTGGCTGCCACCCGCACAACCCAACCAGGGTCAGGGACATACTACAACCAAGGTACATGCCCTTAGCGAGAACTGAACCCGGGTCTCTCTGGACCGCAGGCCAACGCTCTAACCGCTGAGCCAAACCGGCCAGGACTATGTCCAATTTTAAATACAGAAAGAGCCCTGGCCAGT